GGTCTGTTTTAGAGAAGAATCCATGTGTTGCTGAGAAGAAAGTTTATTCACTTGTTGAAGGATGAAATAGTCTGTATGTTAGTTAAGTCTAAGTTATTGATTGTATTATTGAGTTCTACAGTTTCTTTGTTTAGCTGTTGTTTGGAAGATCTATCCAGTAATGAAAGAGATGTGTTGAAGTCAATTAAGAATTGTTGTTTTTTTTGTCTGTTTGACTCTTGAACTTGAGAAGAGTTTGATGAACGTAGATGCTCCATTGTTTGGGGCATATATATTTATAATTGTTAAGTCTTGTTGGTGTATGGTTCCCTTGAGCAGTATGTAGTATCCTTCTTTATCCCTTTTGATTAACTTTAGCTTGAAGTCTACTTTATTTGATATGAGGGTGGAAACCCCTGCTTGCTTCCACAATCCATGTGAGTGGTATGATTTTTTTTCCCATCCTTTCACCATTGCTCTGTGGATATCTTTTCCTATGAGATGAATCTCTTGGAGGTAGTCTTGGAGGCAGCATATTGTTGGGTCTTTTTTTTTTTTTTTTTGCTTCAATATGCTTGTCTTACAATATGCTGTCTTTTGATTGGTGAAGTTAGGCCATTAACTTTTGGGGTTATTATTGAGACATGAGTTGTATTCCCAGCCATTTTTGTTTATTTGGTGTTTAACTTAACTTAGTTTCTCTTCTGATTAGTTTTCCTTTAGTATAACACCTCCCCCTGCTGATTTTCATCATTGTTTTTCATTTTCTCTTATTGGAATATTTTGTTGAGGATATTCTATAGTGCAGGCTTTCTAGTTGTAAATTCTTTTAACTTTTGTTTATCACAGAAGGTTTTTATTTCATCATCAAATCTAAAGCTTAATTTTGCTGGATATAAGATAGCATCCATTTTCTTTCAGAGCTTGGTATATGTCATTTCATGATCTCCTGGCTTTGAGGGTCTGTATTGAAAATTTTTCTGATATATACATTGGTCTCCTCCTATTTGTGATCTGTTTCCTCTCTCTTAGGGCTTTTAAGATTCTATCCTTGGGGCTGGAGTTGTGGCTCAGTGGTAGAGCACTTGCCTAGCATGTGCGAGGCCCTGTGTTCCATCCTCAGCACCACATAAAAATAAAGGTATTTTTTTTTAAAGATTTTATCCTTATTCTATATGCTAGGTATTTTCATTATAATGTGCCTTGGTGTAGATCTGTAGTTTTATACATTTGCTGTCCTGTAAGCGTCTTGTATTTGGTTTTCGAAGTTATTCTTCATGCTTGGGAAACTTTCTGATATTATCTCATTGAAGAGATGGTTCATTCCTTTGGTTTGAAACTCTGTACCTTCCTCTATCCCAATAACTCTTCCATTTAGTCTTTTGATGCTATTCTATAATTCTTAGATGTTCCGTTCATGGTTCCTTACCAACTTTACTGTGTGATCAACTTTATTTTCCATATTGTATACTTTGTCTTCATTATCTGATGTTCTTTCTTTCAAGTGATCTAATCTGTTGGCTATGTTTTCTATTGAGTATTTTATTTGATTTATTGTTTTCTTTATTTCTGAGTGGGTTTTTTTTTTTCAGAATCTCTATCTCTTTCTTGAAGTAATCTTTTGCTATGTATATTTACTCTCTTATCTCTTTGTTAGAGTGATCAATTTTTGCCTGTATTTCCTCATTTAGGTCATTCTTTAATTCACAGATCATTTAATGTCCTTCTCTGACATTTCATCAACTTTGTTGTCCATGGGTTCTGTTATTGTAGTATCCTGGTTTGTTTGGGGTACTTTCCTTCCTTGTTTTTTCATATTGTCTATGTGTCTTCCAATCTTGCAGTGCAGAATCTGAGATATTACACTTTCTACCCTTGTAGTATCCAAGCAAATTGTCTGAACCTCACCTTGATGTTGGGCTTCCAGACCCTGCTGGTGTCCCTCAGTGTATACTTCTGCAACTAAAATGGCGGCGGCAATAGCCGAGGTAACTTGAGATAATAGTGGAGGTGCCCCAAGATGGATGCAGCATCTTACAGAGATGGGCCTGAAAGGGTGGGCCTTACAGTATTTGGGATGCTTGCTCTGTGATGCAGTTGCTTCTAGGCCCTGTCTGTTGTCAAAAGTTAGGGGCTACTGCGTGGGGTAGTCTGTGGTGATGTCTGTAGTGTCCCAAGATTGAAGTGGTTTACGCTTGGGCTCCCAGATTGGGAGCAGGGGTGTGGTGGACTCGAACCTACCCTGGCCTGGGTCCCATATATGTCCCTGTAGGTGGATTTGGGCCTGGCCTGGGCTCTGGCAGGGGTCTGTTGGTTGGAAGAGGCGGTCCTGTGCCAGAGCCTGAGCTCTGGCAGAGATGTCTGCCAGTGGTGGGATGGACGCGGGCCTATTCGGAACCTGGGTCCCCACACAGGTTGGTGTGGGTGGATCTATGGCAGTCCTGAGCTCAGGCAGGGGTCTGCTGGTCGGAATGGAAGGTCAGAAATTTGAGTAGGAGAAGGAAGAAACATTTTAGAGAATGGAGACAATGACTCATTTTTAAAGAGTATTTATTTAGCCAATTGTGGCAGCCTACAACTGTTACCCCAGCTACTCAGCAAGCCAAAGGATCACAGGTTCAAGGAACAGACTGGGCAACTTAGTGAAATTCTATCTCAAAGTAAAATAAAAAGGTCTGTAATGTAGCTTAGAGATAGAATGGTAATGGACTCAATCCCCAACACAGGGGGAAAAAAAGAAAAAAAAAGTTTCTGTTGATACTAGCAATTTCTCACTAGTCTCTGAAAACTATTTGGATTATGCTAGAAAAGTCAGGTTCTCATCTTTACCCTTAGAGACTGCTTTGTGAAATCAAATGGTAAAAAATTAAAGATGCACTATTTTTTTGTATTTGATTTATAATAAAAGTTATTTAGATTCACATTAAATTTTAAAATCCAAAATTTTTTGTTGTTTATTTTTAAAAATTCTTTCTAGATGTACATGACAGTAAAATGTATTTTGACATATTATACATACAGAGTATAACTTATTCTAATTAGGATCTCATTCTTGTTATCATACATGATGTGGAATTTCATGGATTGTGTATTTTATATGAACTTAGGAAAGTTATAGCTGATCCATTCTGTTGTCTTACTGTCTTTCCTATTTCCATCCTCTCTCCCTTTTCTTCATTCCCCTTTGTCTCATCCAATGAACTTCTCTTTTCTCCACCACCCCCACTTATTGTGTATTAGTTTCCACATGTTAGAGAGAACATTTGATCTTTGTTTTTTTCCAGACTGGCTTATTTCACTTAGCACAATAGTCTCCAGTACCAGCCATTTACTGGCAAATGTCATAATTTCATTCTTCTTTGTGGCTGATTTATTATTCCATTGTGTGTATATACCACATTTTCCTTATCCATCAGTCTGTTGAAGGGCATCTATGTTGGTTCCATAGCTTAGCTATTGTGAATTGAGCTGCTATAATATTGATGTGGCTACATCACTGAATGTGCTGTTTCTAAGTCCCTCTCAGTATGAACCAAGGAAGGATATAACTGGGTCAGATGGTGGTTCCATTCTAGGTTTTCTGAGGAGTGTCCATTACTGCTTTCCAGAGTGGTTGCACTAATTTGAAGTTGTGCCAGTGAGTATTTTCCCTCACATCCTCACCAACACTTATTGTTATTTGTTATACACACACACACACACACACACACACACACACACACACTTGCTGATGGACATCTATTTATTTACTTATCTGTTACTTGTATATGGTGCTGAGAATTTGAACCTAGTGCCCCATACATGCTAGGCATATTCAACCATTTAGCCACAACCCCAGTTCTGTTCCTTATATTCTTGACCATTGCCATTCTGACTAGAATGAGATGGAATCTCTGTGTAGTATTAATTTGCATTTCTCTAATTGCTAGAGATGTTGGAAATTTTTTCATATATTTGTTGACCATATTTATTTCTTCTGTGAAGTGCCTGTTCAGGTCCTTTGCCCATTTATTGATTGGGCTATTTGTTTTTGTTTGTTTGTTTGTTGGTGTTATGGTTTTAAGTTCTGTGTATATCCTGGAAATTAATGTTCTGTCTGAGGTACAGATGGCAAAGATTTTCTCATATTCTATAGGCTTTCTTTTCACATTCTTGATTGTTTCCTTTGCTATGAAGAAGCTTTTTAGTTTGATGCCATCCCATTTATTGAATTCTGATTTTGCTGCTTGTTCTTTAGGAGTCTTGTTGAGGAAATCAATTTTTAAGCCAACCTGAGAGTTGGGCCTTTCTTTCAGTAGGCACGGGGTCTCTGGTCTAATGAGTAGAAGCCTTGATCCACTTTGAGTTGAGTTTTGTGCAGTGTGAGAGATAGGGATTAAATTTCATTCCACTACATATGGATTTCCAGTTTTTCCAGCACCATTTGTTGAAGAGGCTATCTTTTCTCCAATATGTTTATGGTGACTTTGCCTAGTATGAGGTAACTGTATTTATGTAGGTTTGTCTCTGTGTCTTCTATTTCAATCCTTTGGTCTTCTAGCCTGTTTTGATGCCAGTCCCATCCTGTTTTTGTTACTCTCGTCCTATACTATAATTTGAGGTCTAGTATTGTGATGCTTCCTACATCACCTTTCTCCCTAAGGATTGCTTTGGCTATTCTGGGCCTCAAGAATTTTTTTTTTTTAATTAAGTGTTCACATTACAATGACTAGAATCAACCTCTCATGTAGTTCTATTTGTTCAGTTTCAGAGACTGCCTATATGGGTTAAACATGTTTGCTAAAAGAAGATAGAAATATATTTATACTGATTTTGGTGGCCTCTATAAGATAATCTGTGTTTTACAATTGACATAACCTAATCTTATTTTATATTGGTTACTGTTGGATTTTGTGTCAAAACAGTCTAAGCTACAGATACTATATTTTAAAGCTGTTTTAAGGAACATAATCATAAAGGAATAGAATTATATATAGGCTTGACTAAAGAATACTTAATTGCATTTCTCTTAATTTTCCCAGCCAATTTCTCCAGAAATTTTGGAGTATTCATCAGATAGCAACAAAGAAGATGACTCAGAAAATGTCCTATTCATTGATTCAGAATCCCCTCACAAATACCACATGGAATATGGTTCTGATGCAAGACAGGTTATGGACAGCCTGTTCAACACAAGAGTGAAATCAACAGAGAATGTCTTGTGTATACCCCAGAAGCAGATAGCTAAGTTTCCCAGGACTCCAGAAAACTCATCAAAGAAGAAGAAACTTTTAAGGTTAAACTGTATCTTTTTAAATACTTTATTCCCAGCTTTTCTCTTTCTTAAAACCCTGTAAATCTCAAATGTTAATTTTTAAAAATTTGTTTCCTTGGGAAGTAAATTTGGCAGAATAGAATTATAATACTGATAAGCAGTTATTGAAGTCCTAAATTCTGGAGCTGATTTATGAAATTGTTCATTCAAGTTGAGTATTCATGGATTTAATTACAACTAGCTTACTTGATTGCTTTCCTGAATGGAGAATTGTTGTTGGGCTTATCAAACTTTCTTGTGGATCAGTTCTTCAGGTACTGTTTTAAACACTAAAGGCAAGTGTTCTATTCTTAAGTAACTTATCTAAAGAGAAAAAAAGTACATATAGACTGTATCAGATTACTTTTATGGGTATTATGAGAGTGATTAGCTAGCTCTACACTGAACATGCAAAAAGTATGAGAGAGCCAAGACTCAGAGACAATGGTTGGTGTGTGTGTAGAGAGCCATTGTGGAAAAATATACCTATCACTAGCATAGTAGGTGCTAATTTTGGCAGGCCAGGTAGGTTGCATGGAACAGCCTATAGGGACCTGTCCCAACCCTGTGACTCTTTGTCAAATAAGAATAAAACAATACCAAATGACAAAAGCAAAAGTAGTAGACAGTTCTATGGAAAAGGAGTTTCTGTGGAATGTTAACATGGTCAGGAAGAGCACAGTTGGATCCATAGATGTTATCTCCACATCAAAAGAAGACAAGAACCCTAAAGCACAAGAAATAGAACCAAGAATCAGTAAGTGGATGCCCTCAAATTAAAAAGCTTCTGCACAACAAAGGGAGCAAGAGTGTAGAGAGAGCCTACAGAATAGGAGAAAATCTTTGCCAGGTACTCCTCTGATAGGGGATTAATATCCCAAATATAAAAGGAACTCAAAAAACTCAACACCAAAAAAGCAAATAACCCAATAAATGGGCAAAAGAACTAAACACACACTCCTCAAAGAAGAAGTAAAAATGACCAACAAATATATGAAAAAAATGTTCAACATCCATTGTAGTCAGGGAAATGCAAATCAAAATCTACATTCAGATTTCATCTCACTCTTGTTAGATTGACAGTCATTAAGAATACAAGTAATAATGAATGGTGGCAAGGATGTAGGGGAAAAGGTACATTCATACATTGCTGGTGGGACTGTGAATTAGTGCAACCCCCTAAAAGGCAGTATGGAGATGCCGCAAAAAACTGGGAATAGAACCACCATATGACCCCATTATCCCACCTCTTGGTATATATCCAAAAGATCTAAAATCAGCATACTATAGGGACACAGCCACATCAATGTTTATTGACAATTCACAATAGCCAGATTATGGAAATAACCTGGGTGTCCTTCAACAGATGAATGGATACTGAAAATGTGGTATATATACACAATGGAATACTACTCAGCCATAAAGAAGAATGGAAATTATGACATTTGCTGGTAAATGGATGGAACTAGAGGACATCATATTAAGGGAAGTAAGCCAGATGCAAAAAAATCAAGGGTTGCATTTTTTTTCCTCATATGCTGAAACTAGACCAAAATAAGCAGGGAGGAAGGGAGAGACATTATGAAAATACAAGGGAGATCAATGGAGTAGAAGAATGGAGTTGGGGGAAGGGGAAGGGACAAGAAAGAAGAGAAACTACAGAAGGAGTTTAACCAAATTATGCTGTGTGCATGTGTGAATGTACCACAGTGAACTCCATCTTTATTTATACCTATAGAGCATTAATTTATATAAAAATACATAGATGGAGGGAAAGCTAATGGAGTAGACAGTGGAAGAGGGGGAAAGAAGGAGAGGAAGTACTAGTGATGAATAGAACAAATTATATTCTGTGCATATAAAATTATGTCAAAATGAACCCCATTGTTACGTATAGCTATAATGCACTAATAAAAACATAAAAAGGTCAAGTGGATTTACACTAAGAAGAAGATGCTTACTTAGGAGAGCCTGGGTTGAAGGAGTGTGCCACAAGGGGTGGGGATCATACCCTGATTCCTATTTTTAAATTCAGGGTTACCTTGCTCTAGAGAGGTTAAAGAGAATAGGAGAGATAGTATTTGAGATGATGGGGAGGGTCAGTGAAGATAGAAAGTGGAATAAGATCTCAGTGAAGGAAAGATAAGGCAGAGTCCAGTGGGCCAAGTATAGCAAGCATAGTGAGAAAGTTCCTGCCTGTTCCCGACATTTTGTTTTCAAGATATACGATACAAGGCTATATACCTGTCCTAGAAAACCTGGCACTGTTATAAGAACCAGCCCCAAGAAACCATGAAAGAGGCAAACATATCCAGATTGCACAGAGTGCCTTTTATTGAGGGCTTACTGACAGAAGTGTGACCATGGGTGACAGTAATTACCAGTGGACCTCTGCAATTTGAGTCAGAGGAAGGGGGCTTTTAAAGTTCTCAGGACAAAAGTGACTTTATCCAAGTACAGATACCTGGTGTATCTCAGTTATATCAAAGATATCAGGCACATTCCTGGCACTGATGGTACCAGGGTCCAGTCATGTAGCTCCACATACCATTCTAATAGTTTTGTTTATTTATAGTATGCTGAGAATAAATGCAAGAAAACTGATCAGAGTTACTCAGGGGCATTCATGGGTGTTATAAGTCAGGATGGTCACAGTTATATGAGGGTGAATCCCAACAATGCCCAAAGTGAAGAAGATGTGGCCTCAAAAAAGAATAGAGGTGATTTGTAATAGAGAAAGGAAAGGAAGTCTATTAAAGAAATTAGCCTTTTTACTTACAAAAGTAATGTCTCCAGAACTACTAAAGACCTACTAAGGTGCTCCAGGGCTGATCCTGTGATCTCAGTGTGTAGGATGCGGATGTGGAGCTGCTCAACAGAGTGGTCAGGCAAAGGAGAGTGCTGTGGATGCTAGAGCTCATACAAAGCAAGAAACTGAAGACAGCAAGGATAAAACTCTTTGGAGGAGTTTCGTTTTAAGGATGTGAGTTGGAAGGGATTGTGAGGGTTGAGGTTACTTGTTTTAAGGTGGAAGAAACTTCAACGAGTTTTTATGTTGAGAGTTCCAGGAGAGAAGGAGAAACTGCTGAGGCAGAGGAGAGAGGATAAGTGATAGCATTGTATCTGATGTGGTGAAAGAAGGCCACAAGCAGGGGAGATCTGGTCAGGAGGTCAGAGTCGTCCATACATGGACCACAGGAAGACAAAGTCCATGCAGGTGCAGGGATATACCTGGTCAAAAGCCCAAACAGTCCATCTGTGGGCAGATGGAAGGGTGGAGTCCATGCAGTACAGATAGATACATGTGGCTTGGAAGCAAATTCTTTCTGTTCACTTCTATTTCAGTGAAATAAGAAATTCTTTTATCAGCTTATAGAGAGAGTGAAGAAAGACGTATAAAAGTTATATTATAGGAGTAAATAGGCTGGGGAAATGCTCCAGGGTTGTCTGGGAGCAGTTGCCTTGAATTGAGCTTGAGATAGACCAGCCAGTGTGGATCCAACCCTGGGACTGCAACTGTAAATAGACAGAGTGTGGGTAATGTCCAGTTGTACCTTGAAAAGAGTTGGCAGAAGTTCCAAGAAAGTAGTTATATTAATGGTTCATTAAAGCTAAAATAGATAAGGCAGGATTGAGTACATGCAGGGTGAAGATGGGTTGTAGAAGTCTGGGCAGGACCAATAGATGGGGGATGGGGAGAGATTTGTCAGGTGCTTTTAGAGTCAGGCTACTATGGGGTGATGGGTAACTTAGAATGGAGTTAATGGACAGAGACAGTTGGTAAACTCTGAAGTTTAGAGAAAGACTGTGGAAGATGGATGCTGAGGTTGGTGAAGGACACAGTCTTGGATAGGAGTTCAAGGAATGGGGAGGTAGAGTCACTAAAGCCTCATGGGCACTGAAATCAACAGGAATGGTGGCCAGCAGACAGGAAAGGCCTTTGTGGTTGGTAGGGACAGCACAGAAGGTGCCTACCCCAAGTGCAGTTCAGTCAGGGTGGGCTGGAATCTAGGGAGGGTTCAAGAAGATCTTGAAGCAGCAGTGAAGAACAAGATACTTTCTAGTCAGTCCCATTGATGAGAAAAGTGAGGACAAAAGAGCACTGTTTGTACTCAGTACTGGGGTGTACTGAGGGAAACAAAAAGGCGAATAGAGGTGATTAAAGTAGCTTCAGCAATATGCAAATGATTACTTTCTTCTAGTGATTTCTAAGAAAAATTTAAGAAGTGTATTTTGCATTTTCCCTTTTAAAGCTGCTATTTACATATTTAAAAATCGAGGTACTTTGATGTTATTAGGACTGTCATCCCCAGGCATGGAAGATACACTGTTCTAATGAGACTTACTGTTGTTGTTTTTTTTTTTTTAATTGATTTTTTTAACAAAATTAAATGACAGCAGAATGCATTACAATTCTTATTACCATATATACCACAATTTTTCATATCTCTGGTTGTAGATAAAGTATGTTGACACCAATTCATGTCTTCATACATATACTTTGGATAAGGATGTCCATCACATTCCACCATCCTTGCTAATCCCCTGTCCCTTCCCTTTCCCTCCCACCCCTCTGCCCTATCTAGAATTCATCTATTCCTCCCACGCTCCCCCTCCCTACCCCACTATGAGTCAGCCTCCTTATCTCAGAGAAAACATTTAGCATTTGTTTTTTGGGGATTGGCTAACTTCACTTAGCATTATCTTCTCCAAGGTCATCCATTTACCTGCAAATGCCATGATTTTATTCTCTTTTATTGCTGAGTAATATTCCCTTGTGTATATAGGCCACATTTTTTGTATCCATTTATCCACTGAAGGGCATCTAGATTAGTTCCACAGTTTAGCTATTGTGAATTGTGCTGCTATAAACATTGTGCTGTGTTCCTGTAGTATGCTGTTTTTAAGTCTTTTGGCTATAGACTGAGGAGAGGGATAGCTGGGTCAAATGGTGGTTCCATTCCCAGATTTCCAAGGAATCTCCATACTGTTTTCCATATTGACTGCACCAATTTGCAGTCCCACCAGCAATGTAGGAGTGTACCTTTTCCCCCACATCCTCACCAGCACTTATTGTTGTTTGTCTTCATAATAGCTGCCATTCTGACTGGAGTGAGATGATACCTTAGAGTAGTTTTGATTTCCATTTCTCTAATTGCTAAAGACAATGAACATTTTTTCATATATTTGTTGATTGATTTTATATCCTCTTCTGAGAAGTGTCTGTTCAGGTCCTCCATTTGTTGATTGGGTTATTTGTTTTTTTGGTGCTTACTTTTTTTAAGTTCTTTATATACCCTAGAGATTAGTGCTCTATCTGATGTGTGAGGTGCAAAAATTTGCTCCCAGGATGTAGGCTCTTTGTTAGCCTCACAGATGTCTCTTTTGCTGAGAAGAAACTTTTTAGTTTAGTCCATCCCATTTATTGATTCTTGGTTTTAATTCTTGCGCTATAGGACTCTTATTAAGGAAGTTAGGGCCTTATCCCACATGATGAAGATTAGGGCCTACTTTTTTCTTCTATTAGACACAGAGTCTCAGAATTAGAAATTCTTATTAGAAAGGGCAGTGATCACTGTCTACTCTTGGTGGAGGGATGGTAGTTGGCTGACTCCTTCTGAAACAGGGAAAAAGGTAACATGGATTGTTTTGTAATGAAGACCCTGTATAATTAATTTCTGAAGTTAATAAAAACTTTCCTCTCACCTAATAATGATTTTAAAACTTCTGCATGAAATATATGATTTGTTGAAGTGTAGTTTTTTTTTAATCAAAATGTTTTGAATACAGATATCATCTTGAAAATATTTCCAGTAAAAAACAACCAACTTTTATCACAGAAGAACAGAGGTCTGAGAAATTACTACCACTAAAGACAAAAGAAGTGTAAGAAATAGACTTTACTTACCTTAGCATGAACAGAGCTGAGATTAAAATAATTTTTTTTAAACCTGTTAAGAGGTAGCTAGGGAGGTTCAAGGGAGGTGGTTGTTGGCATTCCAAGGCTGGAGTGTTTCTCCATGGGAAATGATACTCAATCTCTTTTTGGGAGCACGCTCCTCCCATAACCCCCCAGCCTCACCTCTCTCTCTTTCTCTTTTTGGTTTTTGATACATGATACTATTTGAGGCATAACTAATAAGAATCCATGCATAATTGTCTAGATATTTAAATATGTTGTTAATAAAGCTGTATCTCCCCAGCTTTATGATCATGTTGTTTTCTTTTTGTTTGTTTTGTTTTTTTTGAGGGGACATTTAAAACCATAGCTTTTATTTTGAGTTGTTTTTAACAGTGCTTATTATATCTGACAGAAAGCAAAAATTAAAAATATTATTTTCATTATTTTTTTCTTTGCCTAGTTGTATACTTTACTACAATATTTTAATGAATGTTTTGACTGGATATAAGTTGAAAAATTTTAATCTTTATTCTTAATTTCTTCATATTGATTTTATAGAAATTTTGGACTGTTGAATTGATGTCAACAATCTTCTCAGATAGGTTAGTAATCAATTTTACAGAAAAAATAATTAGGGTTAACTTGCTGATAGATTAATTGTATTTTTATTTAGTTAGAGTTTGGGATTTTATCTTTGAATAGCCTGGCTAACTGCTTTGAAAAGTTAATTTGGATTTAGATAGCAGGGCCTTTGTGAATTTTCATTTTGACTATTTTTTTTTCTTGTTAGTGTAGGGTACAGGTCTTTGTTACTTGAAATAGGATTGTTCATTAGAGGCGTACTTTTTCCATTATTAAGTCCAGCTCTGTCAGACCGAAAATTCATGCAGGAATTCTATTGGCAATTCAGAGCAGAGAGCAAGTGACTTGTGAGGCGTCGGCACAGTCGCCTCCCACCTCTACCTGTGCCTAAACTCAACTGGAGACACAAATTTTATCCGAGAACTCAGATTTTTCCCTCTTGTATGTAACTTCTGTATACAAGTTTATTCTTGCTTTTAGTTTTCACCCTATAATTCCTATTCTAATGGGACTCTACACTTTACCTTTATTGGATGCTACTATTTTTCTTTTTTTTTTTTTTAACTTCTCTAAAGTCATAGCATTGAGAACCAATATTTGGAAAAAAAATTATCTAGGTAGTTGTGTAAAGAACCCAATGTTTTGCTTTCTTCTTGTGTTATGGTTTGGATATGACGTGTCCCCCAAAAGCTTCTGTGTTAATGCAGGAGGTTAAATGATTAGATTATGGGAGCCATAGCCTCCTGAGTTCATCCTAATAAGAACTGAGTAGTAACTACACACAGGTGCTTCAGCATAGCTGGAGGAGTTAGGTCACTGAAGAATTGGGGATTGTATCTTGTTTCCTTGGTTCCTCCCTCTCTGTTTCTCACTGGCCATGAGGTAAACAGTTTTCCTCCATCACCACCCTTCCACCATGATATTCTGCCTCACCGTGGGTCCAGACCAATGGAGTTGGTCCACCATGGTCTAAATCTCTGAAACCATGAGCCAAAATAAACTTTTCCTCCTCTAAATTGTTCTTGACAGGTATTTTGATCACAGCAATTGAAAGCTGACTAACACAGAAATTGGTCCATTGCTGTGACTCACCTGACCTTGTAGTTATAGAAACTTTTGGAACTAGTTTGCAGAAGGAATTTGGAAATTTTTGGAGTGCAGACTGGAAAGGACTTAGAATGTTATAAGGGGAGCTTAATGAGGATTCTAGTGTGAGTTCAGAAGACCAGAATGCCAGTAGGAATATGGACAGTAAAGGCTGTACTCATGAAGTTTCAGAGGGGGAAGTGGGAATTCTATTGGAAATTGGACCAAAGTCCATTTATGATACATTCTTTCAGATAGTCTATCTACATTTTACTCATGTCCTAAGTCTGTGAGAGGCTGAATTAAAGGTGATAGACTAAATTGGACAAAGGAAATTTTAAGGTAACAGAGCATTCAGGTGGTGGCATGTATATTGCTGTCTACTTGGGAGCAGAAAGCATAACAGAAGGATTTTTAAAACTTGCTGTTTGGCCAGAAAGTGAATATAAAATTGGGACCAAAGAATGTGTGATTGATGAAGAGCTTATGGCCACTAAAGAGAAGTTAAATACATTGCATAGAGGCAGTAGTAAAGATGGCTTGAGAATCTCAGAAATTGACAAGGCCACATCCATCATAGGTTCAAGGGTATAAAAGTAAAAATTCCTTTGAGAAGAGGCTAGTTGGAAATCTTTTTATACACAGGAGCTAGGAATGTTGTTTTACCATGCTCAGCCACCCAGGCATTAAGGCCACTGCAGCTATGGTGCCAGGGGACCCACCTACTGCTACGCTGGTAGCATATCTTGGAGTCATCCACATTCTTCATGAATGTAGGATACTGGAGTTAAGGGGTCATGGAGGCTTTCACCAAGATTTCAAAGGAAGCTCTGGGAGGCCAGGCAAAGTGTTGTAACAGGGTTGGAGTTCCTGCAAGTTGACCCTGACAGGACAATGCGTGAAGCTGTGAAGGTGAAGACAAAGTTGGAATGGAGACTCCCAGAATTAAGAGATGCAAGTAATGTGGACTGTCTGCTGGACAAAGCTGTTGACTGTGGAGAGAAGCCATCAGTCCTGCAACCAACAAGGCCAAAGAGACAGGGCTGCCCAAGCCCTCTGGAAATCATATCTTACCACCATGTGTCCCAAATGCCAGAAGTAGAAATATAGGAAATTTTGCCTGGCTGAGGTTTTGTCTTGTTCTGGTCTCATCCCTTCTTTCTATGCCCCTATTCCTCCCTTTTGGAATAGGAATATTTAATCTGTATCATTATATATTGGATGTATGAAACTTGCTTTTAATTTTTACGGGAGCTCAAAACCAAGAGTTTTCCTTGAGTCTCAGAAGGGACTTTGACCTTGTACTTTTGAGTAATGCCAAACTCTTAAGACTATGGAGACTCTTAGAGATGACCTAAATACATTTTACTTTGTGAGATGGACATGGACTTTCTGGGGACTAGGAGTGGAATGTACCAGTCTGGATATGAGGTATTCCCCAAAGCTCCTGTGTTAATGCAGGAGCTGAAATGATTAGATATTTTGTGAGAGTTGTGATCTAATCAGTCCATTCTAATATGAATGTACTAACAAGGAGGTAACTATAGGCATATGGGACATGGTTGGAGGAATTTAGGTCACTGGAAGAATGCTCTTGGAGATTATATCCTATCCTCTGGGCTCCTCCCTCTCTCTCCTTCCTGGCCACCATAAGGTGAGCAGTTTTTCTCCACTGCTGCCTTTTCACCATGGTGTTTTGCCTCATCTCAGGTCCAAAGCAATGGATTTGGCCTACCATGGACAGAACCTGCGAAATCATGAGCCCAAAATAAACTTTTCCTCCTCTAAGTTGTTCATGTTGGGTATTTGGTCACATTGATGAAAAGCTGAGTAATATATTATTATGAATTTAATTTTAAATAGTATTTTTTAAGAGATGGTAGGTATATTATCAAGACTGAGAGCATGGATTCTGGAGTAAGAGTGCCTAGGTATATATTCAGCTGCCTAATGAAATGAGTTTCTTCATATAAACAGAATGATGTGAAGAAGAATCTGTATAATAAGTGGAATATAAAGTATAGAAAATAGAAGTTCTTCAGCATATTTCTGAGTTTGAAGGATTTGGATTTTTTTTAAATTTTATGTTTTTTATAATATATATATATATATATATATATATATGTGTGTGTGTGTGTGTGTGTGTGTGTGTGTGTTACACATAGACACAAACATAGAAATAACTGGTGCCTATAGGAAAAGAGTAGGTGGTAGAGATTTTATTTATATATATATATAGATAGATAGATAGATAGTATGTATTAAGATAAGATCTTTGAATAATAGAGCATAGAGTGCATGTTAAAGACACAACAAAAGCAGTATCACCAATCATGGTCATTTCTTAAATGTTTAATAAGCACCAGGTGCTAACTTCTTTTAGGATTTAATTGCTGGTTCCTCATATAAACTAGTTATATAATAAAGGATGCATTCTTTTACCTCTCTGTGTTCTGATTTTATCATATGAGGTATATATTAATATCCATTTTTTCTACCTAAATAGGATATTATTTGAATAAAAATGAGATAGTATAGTGGACTGATTAATGAAAAGCTATATAATCTGTGAGACAGTACATTGATAAATTATGTGGCCGCCATGGTGATTAACAATTGATCTTGATTTCTAGTTGATTGATGTTATAAATGTGTTAGTAGCAGCTGACCTCTGTGATATTTATGATTTTATATGTTTGTAAACATATGTATCAGAATTTCTATTGATAACTAAGGGCTCTTGTGAAGTCTCTGTATGTTGATTGTTTCATATTGTCTTCCTACCATTCATGAATGTTTTCCTTTTTCTGTATTGTTGGTGTTTCTGCTGTGTGTCTGTGATTGATATTCAGTTGTCTCTGGATTTCAAATAATAGTGTGTGTGTGTGTGTGTGTGTGTGTGTGTGTGTATATATATATATATATATATATATATATATATATATATATATATGGTATGTATTAAGCCCATACCTAGATACTTTTAATTGAGTGTTCTACCTATCAACAGTTTGGCAAGGTTATTTTTGACTGGAACTCTGAACTCACTTTACATTTATCTGTTTGTCCTCATTTACTGATTGAATTATACCCCACCACATGGTATAATATGTAGCTATTTTTGTATCCCTGGTACCTATCATATAGCAGGTTACAAGTAAGCAGTATTTATTCATGGAATGAGTACATGAACTAAGAAAGAATAGAAAGGGATATTTAACTGTCATATATCTAAGAATGTGATGATCCTAGGAACATCACATATTAGCTCTTATTTCTAAGAATCAAGAGAAGGAACTTCTATAAAAATAAAAACTGACCAAGGAAGGTAGATCCTCGAGGAAGAAAATATAATATAAAATTTGTTGGGGCTGGGAATATGGCTCAAGCGGTAGCGTGCTCGCCTGGCATGCGCGGGGCGCTGGGTTCTATCTTCAGCACCACATAAAAAAATAAAATAAAGATGTTGTGTCCACCGAAAACTAAAAAATAAATATTAAAAAATTCTCTCTCTCTCTCTCTCTCTCTCTTTAAAAAAATTGTTAAAATTTTTGCATATTTTGTCCGTTCTTAGTAGGTGTGGATAAAATATTCTAATTACTCTGAGCCTTATTTTAAAACTAAACTTAATGCATTATAATTTATTAAACAGAGGCGGGCTAGCAGAAAGACTAACCGGATTGCAGAACCGAGAGAGATCTGCCATTTCTTTGTGGAGACATGATTGTGTTTCTTACCAAAAGACAGTTTCAGGTAAGGCTTGCATTGCAACTGAGTTGGTGTAGAAAAGAATTCATTTTCTTCCAACATTGTTTAAAAAAAAAAATAATTGCCGTGCTATAAGTGGTATATAATGTTTACAACTTGGAATTTGAAGGCAAGCACACACCCATGAAACTGTCAGCACATTTTATGCCATAAATCTATCCATTATCTGCAGAAATTTCATTGTGTTGTCTTATCATTGCCATCATAATTCTTATGATAAGAATATTTAACATAGGATCCACCCTCTCAGCAAAAAAGTTAAGAATACAATACATTATGAGTAACTATAGGCAGTAAGCTGTACAATAGACCTCTAAGACTTACCTTGTGTAACTAAAACTTGGCACATTTTGACTAATATTTCTCCATTTCTGCTTCCTCCACTACCATTTTACTTTCTGCTTCTGTAGCCAGAGTACTTAATCAAGAAAAAAAAGTAAAACACACCTATATTGGAAAGGAATTAGTAAGATTATCTGTTTGCAGATCGTATAATCTAAATATCTAAAACAAAACAACAACAAAAAAAACATTCTAAAGACAACACCAAAATAAGAAAAAATAAACAAATTGAGCAAAATCGCAGTTTTTAAAATCAGCCTATAAAACTCACTTGCATTTCTAGACACTAACATCAAATTATCCAAAAAAGGAAATTAAGAAAAACAATCTCATTTATAATATCATCAAAAATAATAAAATACAAATAAATTTAATGGATGTGAAAGACTTGTACTCTGAATGCTGTGATTGTTTTTTTCCTTGTGTCATGTTAAGTCTCAGAAATTTTTCTAAGAGAGAATTCCTGTACACAGAACTGCTCATAGGTCATTTAAGACTTGCCCTGTGATGATTTGGACAGTTCTACAGTAGACCTTTTCTTGCTAAATCTAAGCCAATGACTTTTAGACTTTTGTAACCACCAAAGGGAGTAAGACATAGATCTTACATACACATGACATTCACACACAACTGAAACATATCATGAACAACACTAACTTATGTGTGATACAATCTGATATATTCCGTCTCCTATTTTTTTAGGACTCAACTTTTGCTTTAAATGTTTCTTTGGGTGGGAAGACACCACATTTCTATGCAGTTAAGGGAAACATGTTTTTTTTTTTTTGTTTTGTTTTTTTATAGTTTAGAGGTCTTATTTATACTGTTTTGCCATGAATTTGTAGGGAATAAGTTTCAGCAGCTCAGACTCCTTTCCATTGGTTTTCACAAAGTATGTTCTCTAGGTAGAGCAGGTTTCCTTCTTTTTTAATTATTTTTCTTCACAAGTTTCAGAAGATATTTTGGCTCTTAGAGTGCTTAATATGCTTAATGAGCACATTAATTCTCTTGGCAAGAATCTTGCCCTTGTTTACTTACAACAGTGCAGATGCATGCTGAGTAACATTCAGGCTCTTCCAGTTTTGTGCTGATAACATTTGTGAGGCATTTCTTTTTCAATAATGCTCATTTCCTTGATGTCTACATTGTTAGCTTTCCTGTAGATCCTGTAGATTCACATGTATGTGGCCAAAGGGAAAACTCCTTGTTTCTTGAATGGCCTAGAGAGCCATTTGCAGTAGCATACACTTGTAATCCTAGCAACTTGATAGGCTGAGGCAGAAGGAGTAGAAGTTCAAGGCCAGCCTGCATAATTTAGCTCCTGTTGAAATAAAAAATAAAAAGTGCTGAGAATGTAGTTCAGTGGTAGAGCATCCACGATTCAATCTCCAATACAAAAAAAAAAAAAATTGAATTTGAGGCCCTTCTAGTGAGAGCAACATGCAGTCTGAAAGTCAGCTCTATAGACAAGTGACTCAAAAATTCCTCTTTCAACCTGGCACAGTGGTGTATATCTATATATTTCAGCTATTCTGGAGACTGACAAGAAGATTGCAAAATGTTCCAGGCCAACCTGGACAACTTAGCAAGGCATTTTCTCAAAATAAAAAATTTTAAAAGAGCTGGGGATATAGTTCAGTAATAGAAGCACTCTAGGTTTAATCTCTAATATTTCTAGAAAGGAAGGGAGGGAGAGGGAGAGAGAAAACAAAAAATATCTCTTTTTTCATAATGGAGTGTTGAATGATGAGACTATCCCACACATCTGGAAAAAGCTCCCCCCTCCTCTGAAACAATGCTCTTTTCCTGTGTGATATTCCCATCAAGGGTTGGGGAAGGTCTAGACTACATGTCTATTTTGGTGCCAATACCATGTCATTTTTGTTACTATAGCTCTTGTAGTATAGTTAAAGGTCTGATATTATGATGCCTCCTGGTTCACTCTTCTTGCTAAGGATTGTTTTGGCTATCCTGGGTCTCTTATTTTTCCAAATTAATTTCATGATTGCTTTTTCTTTCTATAAGGAATGCTGTCGGGATTTTAATTTTAATTGGAATTGCATTAAACATGTATAACGCTTTGGGTAGTATGGCCATTTTGACAATATTAATTCTTCCTATCCAAGAACATAGAAGATCTTTCCATCTTCTAAGGTCTTCTTCAATGTCTTTCTTTAGTGTTCTGTAGTTTTCATTTTATAGGTCTTTCACCTCTTTTGTTAGATTGATTCCCAAGTTTGTTGTTTTGAGGCTTTTGTGAATGAAGTAGTTATCTTAATTTCTCTTTTGAGGGTTCATCATTGATATATAGAAATGTGTTTGATATTTATGAGTACTGATTTATATCCTGCTACTTTGCTGAATTCATTTATTAATTCTAGAAACTTTCTGGTGGAGTTTTTTGGATCCTCTAAGTATAGAATCATGTCGGCAAATAGCAATAGTTTGAGTTCTTTTCCTATTCATATACCTTTAATTTCTTTTGTCTGTCTAATTGCTCTGGCTAGAGTTTCAAGGACTGTGTTGAATAGGAGTTCTGAGAGAGGGCATCCCTGTCTTGTTCCAGTTCTTAAAGGGAATGTCTCCAATTTTTCTCCATTTAGAATAATGTTGGCCTGTGGCTTAGCATAGATAGCTTTTACAGTGTTGAGATATGTTCCTGTTATCTCTAGTTTTTCAAGTGTTCTGAACATGAAAGGGTATTATGTCTTATCAAATGCTTTTTCTGCATCTATTGAGATGATGATCATATGATTTTTAGCTTTAAGTCTGTTGATGTGATAAATTACATTTATTGATTTCTGTATGTTGAACCAACCTTGCATCCCTGGGATGAACTCCACTTGATCATGGTGCGCTATTTTTTAAATGTATTTTTGTATGCAGTGTGCCAGAATTTTATTGATAATTTTTGCATCTATGATCATCAGGGATATTGGTCTGAAGTTTTCTTTCCTTGATGTGTCTTTGTCTGGCTTAGGTATCAGGATGACACTAGCCTCATAGAATGAATTTGGAAGCGTTTCTTCCTTTTCTATTTCCTGGACCAATTTGAGGAATATTGGTATTAAAATTCTTTTTGTAGGTCTTATAGAACTCGGCTGAGAATCCATTTGGTCCTGGGTATGAGATATATATAAAATTTGTTTTGTTTTTGTTATAGGTGGACACAATATCTTTTTATTTTATTTTCATGTGATGCTGAGGATCAAGCCAAGTGCCTCATGCATGCTAGGCAAGCACTCTACCTCTAAGCCATAATCCCAGTCCTGTTGGTAGGCTTTTGATGGTGTCTTCTATTTCACTGCTCAAAATAAATTTGTTTAAATTGTGTATGTCCTCCCAATTAAGTTTGGGCAACTCATATTTCTCCAGAAATTTGTTGGTGTCTTTGATATTTTCAATTTTATTGGGGTATAAATTTTCAAAGTAGTTTCTAATTATCCTCTGTATTTCAATGGTATCTGTCGTGACATTTCCTTTTTCATCATGAATTTTAGTAATTTGAATTTTCTCTCTCCTTCTTTTCCTTAGGATGGCTAAGGGTTTATGAATTTTTATTTTTTCAAAGAACCAGCTTTTTGTTTTGTCAATTTTTTCAGTTGTTTCTATTTCATTGATTTTAGCCTTGATTTTAATTATTTCCTGTCTTCTACTACTTTTGGTATTGATTTTGTCTTCTTTTTCTGGGGCTTTGAGATATAATATGAGGTCATTTATTTGTTGACTTCTTATTCTTTTGCTCAATGCAATGAAATTTCTTAGCACTCCCTTTATAGTGTCCCAGAAATTTTGGTATGTTGTATCGGAATTCTTATTTACCTCTAAGAATTTTGTTTTATCTCCTCCCTGATGTATTCTGCTATCCATGCATCATTTAATAGTATATTATTTAGTCTCCAGGTGTTAGAGTAGCTTCTGTTTTTTATTTTATCATTGGTTTCTAATTTCATTCCATCATGGTCTGATAGAATGCAGGGTACTCTCTCTATTTTTTTTATATATATATTTGCTAAGAGTTGCTTTATGGTATAACATAGGGTCCATTTTAGAGAAGGATTCATGTGCTGCTCAGGAAAAAAAGTATATTCTCTCATTGATGGATGAAATTTTATATATATATGTATATGTATATATATATGTATATATATATATATGTATATATATATATATATATATATATATATCTGTTAAGTCTAAGTTACTGATTGTATTATTGACTTCTATGATTCCTTTGTTTAGTTTTTGTTTGGAAGATGTTTCCACTGATGAGAGAGGTGTGTTAAAGTCACCAGTATTATTGTGTTGTGGTCTATTTGATTCTTGAAATTGAGAAGGGTTTGTTTGATGTAAATACATGCTCTATTGTTTAGAGCATAAATATTTACGGTTGTTATGTCTTGTTGATGTATGATTCCCTTAAGCAGTATGAAATGTCTTTCTTTATCCCTCCTGAGTAACTTTGGTTTGAAGTCCACTTTATCTGGTATAAGGATGTAAACCGCTGAACAGAAGACACAGAGAGAAACCCACATAAATGCAGGTGTCTCTTACTAGACAAAGGCACTGAAAACATGCATTGGAGAAAAGATAACCTCTTCAACAAATGGTATAGGGAAAACTGGAAGTCCATATGCAGCAAA